CTCTTGTGAGGTAAAGGATTTCAGATACATCTTTTATGGTAGAACACACACACAGTACAGTCATTCACATGATATTCTGCCTTTGTTATCAGTTTACCAAAGTCTTTTTAATATTATTATTATTAATAATAATAATATAAATAAACCAAAACATTTATTAATTTTAAAAAGTTTACCAAAGTCTCTGAACAGTAACATCACACATCAGTTAACCAAAACCCATATGGATCTGAACAAAAAATTTAAGACAGTTCTTGTCAGTGCCTGTTTATGTAAAAGTAACTTTACACCATTTGATGGCAGCAGATCAGAATGTTGGAACTTACCTGAAGGTTTCAGTTGGGCAAAATCATCAAAGCTGGTTAGATCACGCCTTCGCATAGTCAGGTAGGGCTATGCAGATTTTTGCGTGGGTCCCTATTGGAGAGATCATAGGCGGAACCTCCAGTTGAGTCCAAGCCCTGCGTTCTCCATGTGTATTTTTCTTGTTTTTCCTTGCAGAGATTGCATGCCTTGATGCCCCCCCCCCCTTTGAGTGGAAAGCAGATGACTTTGCCCCACTGAAGAGAAGAAACCTTCAGGTAAGTTCCAACGTTTTATTTTCCTTTGGGAGGGGAGTAATCCAAGCTGGTTAGCTTTACCCAAGCTGTACTTTCCGGCAGGGTTTCCTCCCATGGTCTACGGCTCCACCACCTGCCACAGGACCCTTCTGCCAAAGCCCGCTAGGTTAATTCTACAGTGTTTGACGAAGGTTGAGAAGGATGCCCATGTGGCAGCTCTGCAAATCTCCCCAACTGAAGCTCTTGCAAAGAAGGCTGCTGTGGCCACTGCTGCTCTCGTTTAGTGTGTGGTGATCCTGCTGGGCAGCGCCAAACCCTGAGCTTCATACACTTCAAATATGGACTGTTTAACCCAGAAGGTGATGGCGAATTTTGCAACCCTTCCCCCCAGATTTTGGCTGCTGTGCGACATGAACAAGGAGTCTGAGAACCTGAATGCAGCTGCTCTGACCTGGTAAATGCCCAGAGGCCTGCGCATATCTAATTTGTGCCAGGCTTTTTCTTTTGGATGTTTCAGTTTTGGGCAGAAGGACACCTGATATTAGTGGCTGATTTATACGGAATGGCGAGTCAACTTTAGGCAATAACAAACGGGCTGCTCTTAGCGACACTGAGTACTTCTGGAAGATGTGCAGTTCCTTCCTGGAGAATAATGCTGCCATTTACAACACCCTCCTGTCCATGGGGGGCAGTATCTCACTATGCGGGCTCTCCAGCCCGATGTCCGTCCCACATGGCTCCACCGTGTTCTGGGAGGTCATGCCAAGTCTTGCAGGCACTGAACTGTTCATGCACATTCCTTTGTTGCTCTGCATGGCAAGGGAGCAGTAACCAGAAGCTCTGGGTTGCTCTCCTTGCGCAGCCAGCCTCGCCACGTTCGGAAGGCTCTCTACGGCCACCTCCCAAAGCTTCGGGTGGGGGGCCTTCTCCCCTGCTTCCTTTTCCCAGCTGCTGTTTTTGTTTCTTTAGCTGCTGCAGGAATTCCTGACTGGGCCTATGCAAAAATTTGCATAGCTCTACCTAAGCAAGTGGAGGCGTGACCTAAGCAGCTTGGATGATTCCCTTCCCCCCCCACACACACACACACACCGAAGAAGATTTAATTTCTTAACCAGATACTTTCTGTACTGGCTCCAATATTCAGTTAAATGATTTTTTAAATGCAGTAATTGAGCAAACTTCAAAGGACGGCAGAAGACAGGAGGGCCTGGCGGGAGCTGGTCCATGGGGTCGCGAAGACTGAACAACAAATAGAGTTACGAGAAATTTGGGATACATTACGCTATCAGTTACAGATTAGCTTTGTTGAAGTCTCACCATGGTTACCCCTGTATTTGTCCAGATACTATAACACTTTTGTCATAGCTTTAATAGTCATAAGAAACAGTGCTTATGATTAAGCTTTACAGAAGCAACAATTAGAAAAATGAGTCAATCCTAAATTTTGGAGGCAGCACCCAGAGACAAAGAAGACCTGTCAAGACTTGTGTTGAAACATAGTTATGCTGCAGACAGTTGCCAAAAAATAGCAACTCAAGTCAGTCACTGCAGAGAAGAGACCGAACTGTACAACAGAGTTTCTCAAAGGGCCACGGACAGAAAACTTCAACAAAATCAGCCCTGCCTATTGCCCCCCCCCCCAACAACCACAAGCTCCCTTCTGGATCAACCCCACCAGTTTTCTTTGCTTTCCTATAGGTAATATCCTTTTAACTGGCTCATACACAAAACAATTTTCCAGCCCAGGCTGTCTTTTAAAGGTCATTTCTTACTTTAGGTTTACGCATCCTTGATCTTTCTCCTCTCATACCTTTCAAATGCACACATTCTGCATCTTTAAAATTTGATATTATGCAAACCTTCAATATTTTTTAACAGAGCTTGTACTTTGTCAGAGGCTGTAACAGTTGCTGCAATATGCAACAATTACATTTTCTTCATATTATGCAGTTACAAGCTGCTGCAGACAGAATGTTATTGCTAACCTTAAATATTGCTCAGATGAGAAGCTAGCATTCCCCAAATAAATGAGCAAGATTCAGTCCACATGCTACCAGTAATTTAAACTTTTGCTTTCAGGAATAGGCACTGTCAACCTCCAGCATACATGCCAACAATACCAGTCCATTTTGCTTGACATTTAGGGCCAGATCCGTGCCACAGTAACTGAAGCACACACAGAACTTCTGAGGCCAGTGATGCAGAAGGTGGCAACTGGAATGACCCAAGCTTGTGATCTTCCAGATTTGCACAGCTACTATCCAAGCCCAAAGTGAATCCTGGAGATGGTGGCATTGGAGGAGTTTGGCTTGCTTGAAGCATAACCCTCATCTCCTCCCATTCCATTCTGTCTGCCAGCACACTGCCATCTTTACAGGGAGACTTGTGCATACTTTTCTCAGTGCTTAGACCAAAAAAGGTCACCTAGCCCTGATCCAGAACTTTCAACGTTAGCTTAATAAAGGGCCATAATGACTGTCTCATTGGCGGTGGGATGTTATTACTGTAAAGGTAAAGGTTCCCTTGCTCGAAAGCCAGTCGAATCCAACTCTAGGGTTGCGGTGCTCATCTCCGTTTCAAAGCCGAAGAGCCAGAGTTATCAGAAGACGTTTCCGTGGTCATGTGGCTGGCATGACTAAACACCAAGGTGCACGGAACGCTGTTACCTTCCCACCAAAGTAGTACCTATTTATCTACTTGCAATTTCTTGCTTTCGAACTGCTTTGGCAGGAAGTACAGGCCATAAATACTGGATGATCTCCAATGGCTAGGCTCTGACAATACTTCTCAGATACTTTACCCATTCATGCTTTCAGCACTGAGAAAGCGGTTCTTCAAGATGAAAACTCATCTGTCCAATGTTAACAAATGCCTGGTTTCCTTATACAATCTGATTGACACAAAGGCACCTGGATATTTAAGTCAGAAGAATTCAGAGTCATATCATTGCTGTATTATTCTACAGCCATCTGACCAATTTACTTGGGGCTGAGGTAATCACACAGCTTCAGGAAAACACATCATTAGCATCAGAACAAAGTTTGAGTCCAGTAGCACCTTTAAGACCAACAAAGTTTTATTCCTGAATCTAATATCATTAGCATTTGAATGAAATGGTTGTTCTAGTCCCTCCAACTAGCCATAAGCACCATGGGGAAGAAGAAAATAGTATAAAGCTACAATAGACTTATAAACGGTTGTCTCTGAAGTGCAGAGCAGCATCCTAACAGGAAAGATTTTGCAAGCTAGAAGCTTTTTATCCCCCAAAATTGATAGTACAAGTATATACATGCACATACAGCAGGAAAAATAGTTGTGAATTAGCAGCTTAAGGAAGCCTGGTCATAAGAAAAAAGTATATGTCCCAGGCCAAGTTACTGCTCTGCATGCACACTTCATTTAAATGCCTCTTGCATCTGCTTCCCACAGCAAGTACTGGAGATGCCAGGAGGCACCACTTTTTAGAGAAGAGCTGCTCTCATTCAGAAAAAGCCTTCACTGCCTAAACGCTCATTTGTACTACACAACAAGGAAAACAGGAGATCATAACTTATATCTATTAGTGGGAGAGTTGAAATGGGCAGCTGATAAACACCTTCCCAGTCCTATGATTTCCTGCATCTGCCAAATTCATCCAGAGTTTGTCAGAGATCACAGAACAAAGAAGCTCAGATTGGTTTTTCCAGAAAGGAGCACAAAGATTCACAGAGGGCCGTCTCAATACAAAATGCTAGAATGAGCAAGACAGAAAGCTGGCCATCGCCTTCATGCCCGTGTCTGCGGCCTCCTAGAGAAACACGGCGACAGACTGTTGGACCTCATTCTAACACAGCAAAAGAGCTATCAAAATCTGTAGACAGATTAAAAACCGCGGATCCAGTTTGCAGCCGTAACACCCATGGCGTCGAATCCTCTCCTATTCAAAAAGGGGAAAGGCAGAGGGGGCAGCCTGGCTACGCCCCAGGGCTAGCAAATGCACACGCCGCCAAGCAAGGCCTGAAGCATCTGGAGCTCGGGCCAGAATGACTTGCGCTTCTTTCCTTCGCCCCACGGCGCTTTCCGAGACATGCCTCGGGCTGTTGGAGGAGGGAAAACCGCTGGTAAAAAAAGAAAACCCCAGAGAGCCAGGGAACCGGGGGGGGCGCTAGGTAAAGAGAAAAGTCTCCCCCTACTGGAGGCTAAACGAGGCCCTTCAAGGACTGGTGAGCAGAAGCGAAGCCGAACCGCCCCCCACCCTCGGCCGCTGAGAGGCGACCCCCCGGCCTCCATCCCTCCCCCCGAGGCCAAGGTCGCCCTCCTTGGACCTCTCGTGCTCCGTCTCCCCGCTGCAACCCCCGGAAGCCTCCAGATCCAAGGAATCTCAAGCGCAGCCTGGCCCCGCGAGGGCTGCTCCTGGCCCCAGCGCCTGCGGGACCGCTGCAAGGGTGCGGCCTGCCTCACCTGCAGCCACACAGCCGAGAAGGGCGAGGAGACAAGTGAGCCGCGCCATAGCCTCGTTCCTTTCAGGCTGAGCCGTCTGCAATGCGGGAGCGTCAGCTGACCGCCGGCCTATATAACAAGCCCCGCCGGAGAAACAACCCTGTGCGCATGCGTCTAGGGGGGGAGCGGTTTAGCACGACCGCCCCTCCCCCTTCCTACCAAACCGTTGCTATTGCGCAAGCTCCGAAGTAAAGGAAAACGTATTTCCCCCTCCCTTCCCAGAGGTAGTCTTTCTTCGCGCCTGCGTGCCGCTTCCCCCACCTCACCCCCCCCACTCCTCGCTAGGTCAGGTGACGCTGATTCATTTTATGAAAGTGGGCAGGGCGGGGGGTCAGGAGGATAGGGGCGGGGAGGGTTGAGAAGAAATGTGTTTTTCATAGGGAGATGGCCTTGGGAGGACGTTTGCGGCCCGATCCTAAGCATAATTGCTCAAAGAAACTGTTATTTTGTGCAGGTTTAAGGTTTTGTTGCTAAGGTGCTGAAGGAATTTATTTGTTAAATTCTTAAGAAGTGTTTCCAAAGAAATGACGTTCAAGGCGATGTACGGTCTAAAACAATAGTTGGAGGGTATGTCACCTTGAGCATCATTTTATCATAAAGACTAATAAGGAATTTGGTGCAGGGAGCTGCCCAAGTTTGTAGCTATGCAGCCCAATCCTATCCATATTCCTTTGAAGTAATCACAGCTTTAAGCATGTATAGTCTGAAATGAGTCCCATTGACCTCAGTGAAGCTTACTCCCCACTAACACTGCATTCTTTAAGAACATTTGCCGTGGAGCAAACCACATTACACAGACCTGGATAGGATTCTGAGTAGATCTTCTTAGGATTGCTCCCTAAATCTGGTTAGGATTGTAGCCTGAGTACAGTGTAAAGACCCGAATGGTTATTAGTACAAGCCGTAACCATCAGAGTTCAATGAAGTCTTCTTCTGAGAAGCTGTGCACAGGATTTCACTATAAGTGATACAAGGAGGTGGTTGGAATAGACAAACATACTGTGTACTTGAGTAGCTAGAAAGATTTTATCATTCCTAAAAATTAGCTATGTCTGTGTAATATGAAGGCCTGGCTGTGATCCTAAACACATGGTTCTTTTGTTTTTGCATCAGTTAGCTGAACCAGGATGGCTGAAAGCACCTTTAGTGTGTTATCTCTAGGGTGGTGTGAGCCATTCATTTCTGGGCCAAATGTAACCTTTATTCCCAAGTCACCCCCTGGTGTGCGGATGCTTAAATCCGCACATCAGGGGGACCTGGGGGGGGAGAGGTTTGTGCGCACGTGGGGCGGTCCCCACGTGTGCACAAAAATCCCAAACCTGGAAAAAAAGTTCGGGGGGATGTTTAAATCCCCCCGAAACTCACAGAGCGTCCCCTGCGCATGCGCAGGGAACGCTCTGCAAACGCCGCTGCCGCCGCTTGGAAGGTGAGCGGCGAGCAGGGAGGGGGGGCCAGAGCGGCGAGGGCTGAGCCGCTCGGCCCTCCCTTCGGAGCCAGGGGGGAGAGAAAAAGCCGACACCGGCGCCGCTTGGGAGGGAAGCGGCCAGCATGGAGGGGGGGATCAGCGAGGCCTCCTCCACGTGCTCTGCATGGAGCTCCCCCACTTCTCCCCCCCCCCGCAATTTTCGCGGGTCCCCTTTCTTGTAATAATTTATAGGCAGAACTGCCTGTTCCCACGTGGCAGCTTTGCTCTTGCCAGCAGGCCTTATTGTCTCTACCTCTTCTGTCTGGGATCCAGTCTGCATTTTCTGCTTCCTCCTCTTGAGCTGAGTCTGAGGTCATCTGATTGATGCTGCTTCCTTTAGTTCTAGCTTGGATGAGAAAGGGCCAGGAGAGGAAAGGGTTCATTTGCTGCTCTTCTTATTACAGGTGTTTACCTTTGTTCCTTACCTTTGTTGACCCCATGCTCAGTGGATGCACAATATAATTAACTTCAATTTGTCTGATCCATTCCTGCGGGGACAAGAGCAAAGAGTATACATTTAGGAAGTGATGACCACACCATTAGGCTGCATCTTTTTTCCAGTTAAAGCTTCTTTGGCATCTGTCCCAGATATACTGGGGAAAACTGAGCCTGGAGATCACAAATGCATTAATCATTGCTAACAGATTTCTTTCTTCAGACTGTAATAGCTGTGAATAGGAAAAAGTAGATGAACAGCATTCTTCCTATTCCTGCTGCCCACCGCAAGTATTTGTGCTAGTGTGGTAAGCAGGCTCCCTGTCCCCTGATTTGTGCTGGTATCTTTCTTAGTTGTTCCTGAGAAGATCAAAGGATCCCAGCAAGCCACTTCACATATTACATATTCCACATGAATATCCAAGTTACTTTAAACAGGCACCTAAAAATATATGTAAACTGCGACTATAACAAACATATGTCTGGAAACATGTGCATTATATACTTGTCAGGGGGCTCATGTTTGGCTACAAGTTCCTGTTGATTGTATATCTGATGACAAGTGCTACTTCATAATGTTTGAAGTAGGCCTCTGGCTATGAAACAGGGAGATGCCGGTGCTGATGTAACATGCAAGCATCCTTCCTGCTGTGCGAGCACATTCATCTTGGGAGAATTGGGCTGCAAAATAGGATTACATTGTGTTCTTCCCACAAGGAAGCTCTGTATTTGAGCTCGCATACACACCAACTGCAAGCTGAGCAGGCTTTGTGTACAAGAGGGCATTGTGGAGGAGTCGAGGTCTTCCATACCGCTAGCATTCCTAAAGAATAATCTGAAAGCACATGATGTAGTTCTTTTGCTAAAATTAACAGGGGTCTAGAGCAGTCGCACGTTTGGGAACCACATGAGAGCCTTCCTGAGCTCCTTGAAGGAAGAGTGGAAATGAAATGAAAGCCAGTATGGTGTAGTAGTATGGTTAGTGTATTGGACTAGGTCTAGTTAAAACCTGGGATCAAATCCCCACTCAGCTATAAAGCTTACTGTGTATGAGATGGCTTCTCCTTTGGGATTTCACTTACTAGCTCCAGCCCCAATTTCCCATCCCCAAGGAACTGAAGAGTGGAAGAAAAAATGGCCTCCACATAGTACCATTCTAGGAATTTCCCTTGGTCTCTATGAAGGCAGCCTAGAACATCTCCTAGAAATAACATCACATCCTCCCCAGCCATGACCCAAAACCCCAGCTGAGCACAGAATGTCATCTACAGCCACAAGCAATCACCCCCTCCCCAACAGTGGCCAAATCTCCCTGCACCCAATCACAGCTCCTCCCAACAGTACATAAACACCAGCAAGGACACCCATAGTTCAGTAGCTAGGGTGTGCCACATGGGACTCTGTCTCAGAGGTCTCTGCCATGCACACTTAGAGCACACGGTGTTGCACTTAAGTGGTGGGAGAGGCACAGAGAGGACATTTAGCACCACTGGGGGAGCATTTAGCACTAACACCCAAGGGTGAGAGCAAAGTACATGCCATGTGGCTAACTTGTTTCATTTCAGAACCTAATAGCTACCCATACCTGGAGCCTCAAAATGAAGAGGTGATCAATCACTGAAAGGTAAGCAGGGGTTGGGAATCCAGCTGCCCTGGCCCAGGAGTCTTCACCTGTCTCCCTTGCTCAAGCATGGGCACTGCTTCAACAATGCTGACTCCCACACCCAAAGCTAGCAATCTGTGTGTATTTGGGCAACCTGAGCCAAGGCTACCTGGCACTATCACCCGTGTTATGCAACAGGGCATACTTCCAGGGGAGGGTACCCAGGACAGCTGTCTATGATGTGGAGGGGGCAGGGATGTGGGCAGCCCCATGCATTCCCTTGCCAGGACTGCTCTGGCACACTCCCCCACAGCACTGCTGGCATCTGATGAGCGATGCAACTTGGTGGTGCCGGCTTAGGGGACCCAGGGTGGATACAAAGGAGCTGCTGCCTTGGGTGAAGCAAAGAAGAGCTGGGGAGCAGCATCACTGCCAAAATGATGGCTGTTTAGGCCAGCCCATCAGCTGGGCCATCTTGTTTCCTCTGTTGAGGTTTATGAGGTGAAACCACAGCTCTGAGGCTTTTGCCTGCCACTGGCCTCTCCCCATGTAGGGATCGAACCAGGAATCCTGGCCATACTATCCCAGTGCCTTTCCACTGAGCCATGCCTGTCTGTGCAATGGTCTCTGCCTGGGCCTGTGTGGTTAGTGGGGATGTCAGGGCTGCAGTATGTTGCCTTCAAAGCACCTTGCTGGTGTCATCATAAGTCAGTTGTGGCTTAGCCACCTAAATGCCTCTGTTACTCCAAAAGAACTCCCTAAACATTAATAGCAGAGCCCTCCCCTTCCCCCCCCCCACCCCGGGAGGGAGGTATGTATAACTTCAGTCACCAGGTCTAGTTCTTGGCAACAAATAAGACAAGATGGGTAAAAATCTAATTTCAGAACCCCCTCATAATCCACCTCAATGAGCAAGCAGAATTGATCCCAGAGATTCATTCAGATACAGCTGGTAAAGACTCTGAAGTGGACTTTACTGGACATAAGCAAATTTCAGTGAAGAATCTAGCGATGGCACCACATTGAACATTAAACGGTTCACTTACGGGGATTCAGGTCTAAGATACAACAGGTCTTGATCCACATGGAAGTGTTCTTCTGCTGTGCAAGATGCAGTTGACACAATGGTGGTGAAGAGAGAAATGTCATCATCATTACAGAGTCAACTAGAAGAAGAAGAGACTGGATTTACACCCCGCCCTTCACTCGGAGTCTCAGAGCGGCTTACAAACTCCTTTCTCTTCCCCTCCCCACAACAGACACCCTGTGAGGTGGGTGGGGCTGAGAGAGCTCTGACAGAAACTGCTCTTTTCAAGAACAGCTCTGACAGAACTATGGCTTGCCCAAGGTCAGCCACAGCTGTAAGTGGAGGAGTGGGGAATCAAACCCGGTTCTCCCAGATTAGAGGCTGCACACTTAACCACTACACCAAACTGGGTATGTTAAGTCAACTCCAAATTTTCCTTCATTACTACTTTGTCAATATCACACATGAACACACATGAAGCTGCGTTATACTGAATCAGACCACCTTTGGTCCATTAAGGTCCGTATTGTCTACTCACAGTGGCAGCAGCTCTCCA